TTCTTGTTTTAAACATTTTGATGTGGTTACTCAACCCCCGTGGAAAACTCATGGCATTGAAAGCAACTATTTAGAAATATTTAGGTCCTTAAAAATACGTTGTCGTAACCCACTGAGAGTGATACTGAGATCTAGGTACAGGGAGAATTCACAAAACTTCTTGAGACATAGCCTTAGGAAGTTGAATAGAGTACTTTATTATTTCAAATTGCATCAAATTGCCATCATTTAAATATCTACAACTTGTAGATTGTCCACCACACCTTCCTCACTCCCACATTTCTCTAAAGTTGAGTATTTCCAGTTCCCTGACTCCCATTTTTTTTTTTTTTGCTTTACCTTCTTGTCTTAGTTACTTTTCTATCTCTATGATAAAACACCATGACCAAGACAACTTATAATTGAAGGCATTTATTTGGCTTAAGGTCTCAGAAGCTGAGAGTTCTTGATGGTGAGGCAAAGAACAGCTGAGACATTATATCATCCAAAAGTGGGAGGCAGAGGGAGAGCCCTGAGAATCGGATGCCCACCGCCACTGAAACAGCTCTTCTAACAAGGTCACACGGCCTAACCCTTCCCAAATGCTCCCACTAACTGGGGACCAAATATTCATATATATGAGCCTATTGGGAACATTTTCATTCAGACCACAATTTCACACCTTGGTCCCATAGGACTGTGGTCATATCACAATGCAAAACGCAGTTAGAGCAACTTCAAAAGTCCCCAAAGTTGTTTGCAGTCTTAACATTGTTCAAAAGTCCAAAGTCTCTTCTGAGAGTTAAAGGCAGTCTAGTAATTGTGATCCCTGTAAAAGCAAAAAAAAGCAAATCATATACTTCCAGTATGTGCATGATGACACAGAACATACATTACCATTCTAAAAAGGAGGAGTGGGGGAAATGGAGATATAGTGAGGAAATGCTGACTCAAAGCAAGACTGAAACCCAGCAGAGTAAACTGCAGATCCTGTAGCTCTAGGTCTTCTGTCAACAGGCTCAGCTAGCTCTGCCCTCCCAGTTTTGCTACTCATGAGATACAAGCCCTCTCAGACTGGTTTCGCTTCTGGAGTGCAGCTCATGTCAAACATGTCAGGGTCTCCAACACAATCCAGGCTTCACTTCCAACAGGTCCATGCAGCAGCTTCTCAGGGCCTCCTGCCCTCGAAAATCCTTTATTCAGGGCCTGCCTCATCACACATTTCCCAGCTTTACCATCTCTAGTTAACCACAGAGGAAGGTTCCACAACCGTTTTTTATCATGACTCTAAAGACTTAACTGCTGTGGATGGTTGCCAGGTTTGATTGAACCTTTTGAAACCTCAAAGCACAGATACAGTGATACACCTCCTCCAAAAAGCCACACCTCCTTTTTAAAACAACTTGGGCCAACTGGGAGCCAAGTATTCAAATATATAAGTCTATGGAAGGCCACTCTCGTCCGAACTACCATGCTACTAGCTTTCTCAGCCATCCCACACACCCCATAGGAAGGTAGTGCACGGGAGTCCTAGAGTCACGGCTGAGTAAGACTCCTGAGTTCAGGTTTTTGCCCCACCTGGAATAAAGTCTGTGACATTGAACAAGTGACACTCTCTGTGACTCTGCTTCCTTCCTTGTAAGGTGGATTTTTAAAAACGTGTCTACCCGATAGGGTTATTGTTGGGACTAAGTTAGTCCATGTAAAGTATTCCAAAGAATAAGACACATGTCTGCTGTAATATTTAGTATTCAACAAGCAATAAATAACTCATATACTTTAGATCCTCAATTGAATTTTTTGAACTCTGTGTGTGTGTGTGTGTGTGTGTGTGTGTGTGTCTGTGTGTGTATTTAATGACAGCCTAAGTTCTATTTTGCTTTGGTTGAAGCTAAATAAAATAAATATAGTCAAGTCACCTTCACTGAACAGGTATTAGTGAGAAAAGGTCTTCCCTGGTGTATGGCAAAGGTTGGAATGTTCTAGAATTAAATGCAGCTACTGAAGAGCTAATCTACATGCAGGTGATTGATTGAGTTGGCTTTACACATGCTATGTGATTTTAAAAAAAATCAAAACAAAACAAACTCAAACATACAACAGTGCTGAGAGACAAAGTTAGTGGAGATGAGGCAGGATGGACTTGAGTCTCTGGTGACCTTTTCCCTGTTCCAGGCTAGAGAAGTCCGGCTGCAGATGCCCGTCTCTCTGGAGAGTGTGGTGGCTGAAACAGTGCATGCTGGATACTTCCAGAAAGTAGACCCTATACATATACCCAAGAATAATATACACTTGGTACCACACCCACCACACATGCCTCCTGATAACTGTCTGTGAACACACAGGATGAATAAGGCAGCAGTGTGGCTGAGGTCAGCCACAGGTGGGGGCTGGGAAGAGAGAGCTTTCTCTGATCCATCCAATGAATCAATGAATTAAACAAAGGGGAGTTCAGAAGCCAGGCTCCCCACTTTTGCTATAGCAGAGCTGATTATGAACTAGCTTAACTGCTGGAAAACAAGGCTCCAGCTAGGAGAATTAGGGACATGTTTGTCCATTCATTTTCTCTAATCGAGTTCTTGGGAAATACACATGTAGATTAGCTCCTAACAATGGCCCCCAGCTGACTGCTTGGAGTACCCTCCACTGTGCCCACAATGGTCCTGACTGGCTCTTTATGTTCCACACAAAGGCAGGCCCCAGCCCTCAGGCCTCATCAGGGCTGTTGAAGTCCTTCCCTTCCCGATTTTCTCCTGAGACTCCAATAAACAGTAAATAAAAGCTCACCTCACCTGGAGCTACGGATAGAGCCGGGCAGTTCCACCCCTCGAGAGCTTGTGGGCTGTTTAAGGGATGCTGACACTTTGTTCTGCTTCCACTGCAGAGACAGACTTACCATGGGAGGAGGTTTACAGAAAATGCATTCTGTCCAAAGGGAAATATCAAATACCCATGAATTATTCTGGCAGCCTCTACCTCAGCACCTCAGACCCTTTGGGGTGCCACTAGGCCATTTGCAGGATCCTCAGCTTCAGGGGCCTCCCCCAAGGCTCCAGTCCCACAGGACTGGCTGCTCAAAGGCCATTGGGATCTCATTTCTTCCTGAGCTAACGGTTTCCCCCTCAGCCTCAGAGATGCAGGATTCAGGGGCTCTGGCAAGGGATCAAAGATGGGCTGCAAGCCAGGAGACACTTTGATTCACTTAAAAACGTCACGCTGCAATAATAACCCCAAAGCTCGATGCAGCCTGAGACTACGGGATGAGGAGTTCTAGTCCAGCCTCTCTCTCTGTTGGATGAGCCTCATTTCCTCTTCCGGAAAGACCTGCCCTGCTCACTCATGGAATGTCTAGCATCCCATGGCAGGAAAAACGTACAGGGTTTGAAAACTCTAAAGTGTTATTTATTTTCATTAAATTAGCTTATCTTTGTATTGCAATTTCTTTTAACAGGTGCTGGGGATTGAACATTTCTAGGCAAATGCTCCACCCTGAATGACATCTTCAACCCTAACAGGTCTTTCTCAAACTTCCTGAGCTGAGCCAGACTTCAGTTTCAACCCACTGTCAACTAATCATTCATTGTATATTCATTTGTCATTCCTCACGGCCTGACAAATAAACTCCTGAAAGCCACTAACGCCGGTTCTGTGTGAATTGTGTGACCTCGTTCAGGATAGTGTTGGCTCTGAAGAAGGAACAAAAAAAGTAATGAGAAAGAAGTCTGTCTTGGTGGAGATCTGAGAAAGGCGGAATTGTGGAACGCGAGACCCCAGCTCCTCAGGGACGTCTGCAGTAGCCTTTTCAGACTAACCCTTCAGCGAAGCTGGGCATCTAACCCTCGGCTCTGAGGCGTGCAGTGCTCACAGTTGCTAACAGCGATGAGGCTGCTACGAATCTTCTTTCTGCTGAGCCTTTGAGTCACTCTGGGTCAAGCAAGCCTCAAGGGGCCCCCAAGGGGGAAGGGACTCAAGCGGATTAGGGTGCTAACTCTCAGGGATGCACTAGTACCTTCTCCCCAGGAGAATGTCCCTACCCATCAGTTTTGGGTCGTCTTCCTGGCTTATGGAAGTGGGAAAAGAGCAGTGTTGTTTATCACTGTGATTCAGTGAAGGATCCTGGCCCGTCAAGATAGCCCAGGAAAGGAAATTTTGCGTGTCTTCTGCGAGTCCTGGGAACTGTCATATTTGAGGTCATGGGTTCTGCGGGCACAAACTGTGCCATCACCACTTCTGAGGGTACAGAGAGAAGTAAAAACAGACACAGACAAAGGAAGCCTTAAGTCTAGGAAGGCAAAGCACAGAAGCATAGGTGTAGAAATGAGGGGAAGACTGAGGGGGAAGATTAAGGGAAGATTCAAACAGGAAGGCCTGTGAACTAACTTCATCGCCCAGGGATAGCCGAAAAGCCTGCAGCTGATCTTGGAGCTTCCAAGTGCGGGAAGATGGTCCCGAGCTTTGGGAGGAGGTAGGCAAGAGAGGGGCAGGTGAATACAGAAAGGGGGAGAAGTGAACCCTGGAAAGTCTGGTCCAGGGAGGCTCCTATCGGGGTGGAATGGTGCCTCCTCCTGTCAAACTTCCCACTCCTGGTACCCGGAAAATATTTGTGGAGTTGAAATGGATCAAGATGGTAGATGAAGGGAATTCAGGGAGCAGGCCTGGGTGACACGCCCAGGACCCTAGTCAGATCAGAGAAAAGACCCGCCCTTTGTAAAGGGAGGGACAGAGGGAAAGGGCTGGGTCTGGAGAGAGGGAGGAGTCCCGGACTAGAGCGCTGCAGGCCTCTTGCACCAACGCTCCAGTTACCCCGAGGCCAAACTTCCAGCTGCAGCGACAATCTAGTTGACTGCTGGCCCAGCGCTCGCCCACCTCCCGAGCGGTTGCCTAAGCTGGTTGCCCGCCGAGTTGAGCTTTGGTCGGACCCATCCTGTTGCTCACGTTCTAGAAGTGCACATTTGAGGGCTGGGCTGGGGAAGAGGAACGGGCATCGAACTCCAGTTTGTAAAGTGCGCTCCTGTCTCCCCATGCACCTGCCGGGCTGCGCGCCAGCCATGGCCGACGGGAGCTTCTCGCTCGCTGGCCACCTGCTCCGCAGCCCGGGCGGGAGCACGTCGCGTTTGCATAGCATCGAAGCCATTCTGGGCTTTACCAAGGAAGATGGAATCCTAGACACCTTTCCTACAGAGAGGAGCTCCAGGGGCTCGAAAGAGCGCGATCCCAGACTGGGAGCCCGGCCCGCCTGCCCCAAGGCGCCAGCCGGAGGCTCGGAGTCATCGCCACCAGCAGCCCCGGGGCTCGTTCCAGAGTACGAAGGTAAGTACGCAGCAAGGCTGCAAAGTCTTTGGGGTGCTCTGTGAGACAGGAGCTCCTTCTTCTTTACCTTTAGGTCAGCGTGTTTGGGGTCTGCCCAACTTGAGGTTAGAGAAATCTTAGGGACTCCACGTAGGGTCCCCATCGTGGACCTCCTCAAATCAGTTCAGGCGCCACTGGGTCGCCTAGAGCCGTAGAGAGGCGGCTTCGCCTCCGTGATGAGTGTCACTGACCGCTTGGGGCTTCGCTGCCCTAGCTACTCGCCCCTGCTACCCCAAGGAGCAAGGAGAGGCACGGCCGAGCCCAGGACTCCCGGTTGGGCCAGCAGCAGGCGATTCGAAGCTGTCGGAGGAGGAACCTCCCAAGAAGAAGCACAGACGCAACCGCACGACCTTCACCACTTATCAACTGCACGAGTTGGAGCGCGCCTTCGAGAAGTCCCACTACCCCGACGTGTACAGCCGCGAAGAGCTGGCAGGCAAGGTTAACCTACCCGAGGTTCGGGTCCAGGTAAGCTCTTGGATTGACGGACAGGAACCGGGGATGGGGGGAGGGGAGGCGGAGGACTGAGCAGCAATTATTTTAGTGCATTGCTTCCATGGTTCCGCAGCGCTAGCCCAGAGCCCAGGAGTGTCTTCGACAATTTCCCCCATGAACTACCCTTTGAACGGTCTTGTTCAGTAAGATGTCTCCTATGGGGGAGGGGGCTCCGGACTTTAAACGAAAAGGACTTGGAAATCGCTTGGGAGATGAAGAGGTTGACAGTTCATTAGATGCAGTCGAAAAGGAGTTGCGGGGGTGGGGGGTGGGGTGTTGAACGCAAAGAGAATCGAAAAACGTGAAAATAGCGGAGTGCAAGGGAGGGGGAGTATTACTGGACTGAGGCCCTAGCTGCCACCAGTGTCACCAACTGCGCACGTTGTTCAAAACGAAAACTCTCCTCCCCTGTAAGCAGCCAGTTAAAACTTTAGATGGAGTCAAGAAACTGAGTTTTTCTTCCTTTTACACGGGCCTTTCCTTTTTATCGTGAGGGAGTTTTCGCTTTAATTAAAGCTGAATTTCTTTAATCCCCAATCATTAAAATATTTGCTAGTCATCTGTGAAAAATCTGGGAGGGCTTCCAAACTGAGAGAGTTTACAGGGGCCTGAGAGGGAGGCAGCGAGAACGAATTCACTGCATCTGAGAGCGGAACTAACCCGTAGTTGGGGGCATTCTTTAGTTGGATTTCCAGGCAGTAGAGAAACTGAGGCTTTGGGCATTTATATAGCTGTGTCTTTAGAGTAAAGGAAGACATGCTATAGGAGGCAGACCTCCCCAGTGTGGTTTGGAATTAACTACCAAATAAATCGAGTTTCTCCTCGTTCTGGACTGTAAATCTATGGATTTCATTGAAAGTTGGAAATTTCAGCACGTGCTGTCCAGGGACAGGAACGGGAAGAAACTGTAGAGGAAGACAGAGAAAAAGCTGTGTGCTCGCTTCCCGGTATCCTACAGACCGCGGCAGCAGGCACGGTTTCGCATCAAGTTCGCCTGTCCCTCTTGCTCTTGTCCACTAACTTAGGAGAATCCTGAGAGCAGGGTTTGTAGCTTTCCTGTGACTGTTACATAGCTTCTTTCCCACATAAGTAGATCATCAGATGGTGTGATGGGGACCAGGAGGGTCTCCTACAAGATTAAGGACAGCAGGAGGAAAGGTAGCCAGCTCTCCCCATCTTCAGCCATGTAACCCTAAAAACTGGATCCAGAGCTGGAGAATCTCTCTTTCTCTCCACTCTCAGCAAATTTCTAATATTCCCTGGTGGCTGGTGCCTTGTGTGGAGACATTTATATTTTGGGTTTTTTTTTCTTCCTAAGTCAAGGGCCACACATACTTGGCCCTCCTCCACTCCGGTACTGGATTCTCACCTCCCCAGCTCTTCTATTTATATCAAACCCACGTTTCCCATTGGTCCATGCAGCATTTCCTTCATAAATACAACCCCGAGGATACCACTTTGCCCTAAAATTCTTTCAGAGTCTCCACTAAAAGAAACCGAATCTGTTTTGGAGGTGAGTGGGACTGGACAGTAAAGCATCTGTACTCACGCTTTTATTAAATTAGTAGTAGTAAAGGCTCATGTGCAAGAAACCATAATGTCCTGTGGAGGAGGAACTTTTCCCTGTGTGGGAAAAAAAGAAAGAAAGAAAAGCAAGTCCCTTATATACAACAATGAGCCAACATACGAGGGGAAAGGGCAAAAGTCTATACTATAAAAATAGACATAATAATCCACTTGAGCAATTGTAATCTCAGAAAGTAATTTATAGGAACCTCAGAAATACTAAACAGGTACCAATTAAATAAAGTCGAGAAATTATCAGAGAATCGACACACGAGGCCAAAGAAACCTGCTGGATACAGCAGCATTTTAACTTGTGAGCGGCCGGTACGTAGTGTACCAGGGTTTATAATAATAGAGAAAAGGGGGCAGATAAAACAGAGTAGCGGAAGCAGCAACTGAGAGAGAGCTACACCACACAGAGCTGAAGCAAGATCCCAAACTTAAGTGTCGAGAGGGGCCGCCAACCAAAGGGTCCTGGAAACCTGCCTTTAGCATCCTGCGGTCTAGCCGCAGAGCTAAATTCGCTGTTCTCTTTCCCTTGAGGGTCTTCTCCTGTTAAGGGTTAAAACAGATACCACCACAACCCAGAATAAAAGATACAGGACAACGGGGATGCTTTGGAGGAGTAGGGTGTGATAAAGAAAGACCTGGGAGCCAGAGAGGATAGCGACAAAAAGGAGAGTATTTTTAAAAGAAAGGGTTGGAGAAAACCGGGGAAAGACTTAGGGAGTAAAGGACCGTCTGAGCCCTTCTAGCAGTCCCGGGGTTATTAGTCAGGTGGAGAGGGAGGGTAAGGCTAACTCGCCTGCCCTGGGTGGGGACTTCCCTCCACCCTTCCCCTTAGCCTGAAGGCGTCTGCGACTTCTTTTGGCAGGTGTGGTTCCAGAACCGAAGGGCTAAGTGGAGGCGTCAGGAAAAACTGGAAGTGTCGTCCATGAAGCTGCAGGACTCGCCTCTCCTCTCCTTCAGCCGCTCCCCGCCTTCCACGGCTCTGGCTCCCCTGGGGACCGGTCCGGGCAGCAGTAGCGGACCTCCGGGGAGCGCCCTACCGCTGGAGCCGTGGCTCGGGCCACCGCTGCCTGGCGGAGGAGCTACGGCGCTGCAGAGCCTGCCAGGTTTCGGGCCACCGGGACAGGGTCTCCCGACCAGCTACACGCCGCCACCGCCCTTCCTGAACTCCGCGCCCCTGGGTCCAGGTCTGCAGCAGCTCGGGCCACCGCCAGCGTACCCGTGCGCGCCTGCATTCGGAGACAAGTTCTCGCTGGAGGAGGCGTACCCGCGCAACAGCAGCATCGCTGCGCTGCGCCTGAAGGCCAAAGAGCACATCCAGGCCATTGGAAAGCCTTGGCAAGCCCTCTAGAGGCGCTGCGGAGTTGCTGCGAGCCCAGCGTGCACCCAGCCTGGTTGGCTGCACTTTCTTTGCTAGCCCTGCTGCAACCCAGCGGCCAGCCTTGGGCGGGACACTCGCGCCTACTCCCGATTCTTCGAGAAAAGGAAGGCCGAACTTGAGGCCAGCGGAACTTTAGCCTTGCTGCCAGACGGATGAGCTGCGGGTCCCGCTGGCCACACCGCTTCTAGCTGCTCCCATAAGCATCAGCGCCTACCACCCGGAGGGACCAAGGATCTTGACCTAGGATATTCCCAACGGAAAGAATGGGGAGTGAGAAAAATAGAGTTGAAGAAACTGTTTGTAAAGTTAGTTTAAAGTATTTTGGAGGAAAATTAAAGATTTGTTTGTTGCCCGGCTAAGCGTGCTCATCGACTACAGCGTGAGGGGTAAGGTAGGGATCTGGGAGAGGATGCTATCTTGGACCTGGTGGGTCTGGGAATGCTGAGTGCTGTACTGGGAGCTCCTGTAAATTCTGGGGGGAAACTGCTACAAGAGAGAATCAGCCTTCTGGGTGCTGCCTGGCTTGTTTGAGGTCAGCGGCCTAGTTAATAGCCAGCGCCCCTTGCTACTTTGATCCTTTAGCAACCAGGTAAACCACCTTCTAAGGTGGGACCAGAACATCTTCAGACTTCTCCCTTTCCAGTTGGCCTTAGCCTTAGACTCTCTCAGATCACTGCTAGTCACCAGCCTGGTGCCAGCCCTTGCCCAAAGTGCTAATATTAATTAGAAGATTGTCCTGAAGATATTCTCTCTCCTGACTCTCTTGTCTCCCTAATTTGCTCTGCATCCCTCAAGCCAGAGTTCTGCTAACAGCTCCCAGGATGCTGGGCACGAGGAGTCAGGGATTTATCTGTGGCGGGCTAGGAAGGTGAGCTCCCCTATACTGGCATATTTTAAATATTAGGTTTGGTGGAGCCCGCTGTGGAGCAGGAAAGGAATGCTCCTGTCTCAGCCAGCTGTGGCTGCTCCCAAGGTCTCACTAAGTCCAGGGTGAGGGGAATCCAGATTCCCTCCTGGGCAGCCACTATGTCCCCTTCCCCCTGACCTGTGGTCTCCCTTTCAGTGCTGGCCTTGATTGCAAAGGGACCTTGCTGCTTGGAGGCTTAGCTCCTCAGCTGCTGTCCTAGGGTCCTTAGCATATTGTGGGGCTCTCCAGTTTCCTTCCCTCTTCTAAACCTCACCAGGACCCTACCTCATCAGGAGATGCGAAAGGTGAACAGGATCTCTGTGCAGATTTTCCTTTACCAAGAACAGGACAGAAGGCCACATGGGTGACAACGGCTACTCCTCTGTCTCAGCTCTGTTCCTAGAATCCTCTTGATTGCAGAAACCTACTCCAAGGTAACCACTTGGAGGCAGAGGGCTGTAATCCAGGATCCAGTCCTTACTCTGTAGGCCGAGAGCTCTGACACATAGCCAAGGCCAGTGCCTTCAGATATACACTAAGTATTCTAGCTAGAAATTAAGTGGCTTTCTCAGGATGTAGAAAATGACATCTCTGTTTCCTTACTAGGATGTCTCTGAGGGAAATGGGGTATGCCAAGTGATTATCTCTAAGGAAGGGGTAAAAAAAGACTTACAGAATGGATTGTGTGTCAGTTTCTGTCAGCCTGATCTATTTTCTTCCCAGTGGCCAGGTTTTAATTTTTATTTATTATTTTGTGGGGGTGATTAAGTGTGTGTGTGAGCTCAGGTACACTCATGCCATCATGTGTGTGTGGTCAAAGGACCTCCTTGTGGGATCCAGGAATAGACCTAGATCATTAAACTTTCCTGCTAGCACCTCTACCCACTGAGACACCTCACAGGCCTAGGCTATCATGTTAATAGGAACAACTCTTTCCCAGGATGTTTAGCTTCACTAGTCTAAGCTGAAAGTACTTGCTAAACCCTCCTGCCTACCCTACTCCCGGACACCTGAGACCTCGCTCTCCCTCACTTCCCTTAGATCCCCCCACGAGTGTCCGAAGTCTCCTTCTGTTGTTCTCACACTGTTCCAGCCCAGCAGGGCATACTCAGCAAGGATCCTTGACTGTGTTCTGGGATCACCATAGGCCTGGTCCATCTGCTTATTCCAGCTCCAGCACTCACAGACTATTGTGTGGCTTGCTGAAACAATTAGTTTACTCAGTGTTACTTAGGTATGGGAAATGTATAGAAACTTATGTCCTTAAAGAAAGAATTTGCAGGGGTTGGAGAGATGGCTCAGAGGTTAAAAGCACTTCTTCCAGAGGACCTGGGTTCAACTCCCACACCCATGTGTCAGATCACAACCATCTGCAACTCCAGTTCCAGGGAATCCCATGCTCTCTCCTGGCACCAGATATGCATGGTGCACAGACATACATAGAGGCAAATACACTCATTCGCAGAAAATAAATAATTAAGAATTCTTCTCTTAGCTGCTGTTGACTGTCTATAAACCTGTTCCTCGTGTGGCCTCTCCCACTTAGCAACCATTAGCTGTATAAATCCTTGGGAAGGGGCCACCCTGGTGAGCACTGCCCCTCCATGGCAGACAGATACTTTGTGCAGGTGTCCTACAGGTAATCATGGCTGCTTCAAGAGGGCAGCTGCTATCCCTGCCATGCCCAGAGGACAGCTTCCGAACACACAAACAGTGTAAACTGGGACAATGTCTTTGTGTCTGCCCCATTTATGAAATGGGGCCAACCGTGTCTTCCTGTCAGAGTTATTGTGACACTTGATGAGAGAACAAATCTCTTGGAGGAATGTGTGTGCATAAGAGGTCATCAGTATGTCTGTGTATACACCCACGTGTGTGCATGTGTATGCGTATGTGTGCATATGAATGTGTGCATGTATGTATGCATGTGTGTACAGTGTGTATGAGGTCATCAGTGCGTGTGTGTGCATGTATATGTGTACGTGTGCATGTGTCTGTGTATGTGTGTGTGCATATGCTTGTGTGTGCATATATGTATGCATGTGCGTGAGTGTACATGAGGTCATCAGTGCTTGTGTGTGCATGCATATGTGTACATTTGCATGTGTCTGTGTATGCATGTGTGTGCATATATGTATGCATGTATGTGTGAGTGTATGCTTATGCATGTGTATGCCTATTCGTGTGTGTGTGTGTGTGTGTGTGTGTGTGTGTGTATTGTGGGGATTGAACCTGCAGACAGGTGCTTTACTATTGAGCAATACCTGAAGCCCACTTGATGATATGGTTATTTTCCAAAGACTTCTTTCTGAAATATGTATGTGTTTGACTCTGTCCCAGGGAGATAACATAAAAGATTATCCATTCTCCTGGAAAATTAGTAGCTTAGGAAAGGGTGGTTGTACAGAAACGTATATGAGAAGATGAATGGAAAAAACAACCTGAAGCCCCAGGTTCCTCTTATTTCAGTTCCTAAGAAGAGCTCTTTGGCCACATTAGAAACATATATATCCTGATAGGAAGATGCTAGCTGAGTAAACACTTCATGCTTCCTCCTGGGAGATTTAGAGGCACACTTCTGCAGTCCTTGGCTCTAAACATGGCCAATTCACTGGCCACCATCCATGCAGGTATGTAGAAGACTTTAGTGGGCCTGAAACAGCTGGCCCAGTGCTCAAGTTCATGGCTATAGAACTCAATAGGTCACAGAGGCTCTGGCCGTGGTGGAACAGGACTTCCTAAATTTGAGTGTTGGTTCTAGTTTGCAATGGAGGAAGGTTTTCACTGACTCTGAATAAAAGGCTTCCTGGTCATCCTCCATCACTGTCCCAAGAGATGGTGCTACCTAGTACAGCTCTGGCTCAAGCAAAGCAGTTAGTATAAAAAAGAAAGCAAGAACCCGTATAAAATGTTTACAGAGTTAAGGGGGAAAAGCTGTTCTCAGCACTGAGATGAGACCCAGGTGGAGGCAGGATTTTGCTGAATCTGGGGTTGTCAATCTAAAAAGGAGACCTTGGAAAGCCCCCAACTCTGGAGATGAAGGCCAGGTCTGTTCTGGCCGGAAGTTGCAGGGAAGTGGGTCTGTAGTGTTTTTGTTTTTGTGTTCTGCTTTGGGGAATGTGGTTGGCTGCTGCATAGACCCCAGGACAGTAGAGAAGTAATCATCAGAATGCACAGCATAGAAGAGGGCACAGTCAAGATGGCCACGACCTCTCCTGTCCATCCCCTGACCATGCAGCCACATAGAACATACAATTTCTCTATGTAGGGTGTTAATTTCTCACCGTGCCATACCTGTAGGCTTTTGATGTGGTGCCGCCTACTGTCCAGTTTCTCTCCCAAGGAAAGCCTCTTTTGGCCAAAGGTCTTCAGATCCCGAGGTCCAAAGAGCAGTGGTAAACCAGAGTGGCCCTAGCTTAGGATCCTGGGATTCAGAGCTGTGTCTCCATTCAGTACCCAACATGTCTTCTTTAGTTTCTGACCCTTGGTATCAAGTCATATCCAGATAGATCTGATCCTGGGATGGTGAGTGACTGGGTCTTAAATAAGTGTGATTGTGTTAGAGGGACTAGATAGGCTTCAGTCAGAGGTTGGCAACCAAAGTGACATCATCCTCCATTTTAAACATATATTTAATAGTTGCAGAAATGGAAAACATCAAACTGCAAGTCCCCCCACCCATCCCAATTCATCTAGAATCTGGCAAGGGAAGGGAAGGGACACCAATCTCCCTTTCTAGATGTGGCATTGAAAGTCCCCAGAAACTTCCAGGGACCAGCTGCAAATGAGCACACCTCTCCTGTGAGCAGACCACACAGGACTACAGAGGCATGACCACCTCTGGCATGCAGACCCTAGAGCTCCCGGGCTCCTGCCTTGGGTGGTAATGTCCCCATCTTCCCTCCCTCAGAGCCTGACTTCACTTCTCACCCTCCTAGCCCACTTCTCTGGCTCTGTTCTGAGTACTCCACCCCTAAGTAGACTCCTAGGCTATGCATGGAACCCCACCTCCCCAGAGGTGAGAGAGAAAGACTAGCAGTGGAGATGGTATTAATTAAAAGCT